TTGATTTGTAAGAAGAGTAACATTATCACGAAGTTGTTGAAGTTCTTGTTCATGTTCATTGATGAGAGGAGATGGTGATTGTGATGATGTTGTACTATGAACTTGAGGCTAAAATAAAGAAAAATTTCTAATAAAGAAAACCAAAAACAAAAGTTCAACAACTAACTTCTGTAATATTTTTATTGTGTGATCGTTTTTGAAGCATTCGTTGCATACTATCAACAGATCGTGGACGTTCTATGTTTTGAGAAATATAATACAATATTATTTATTCATATTTACAAAAAAAATATATATATATAATTACCTAATTGTTGTTTTTGTAAGCGAATTTCATCTTTTAATAAATCATTTTGATGTAAAAGATTGTCTCGTTGAATATTTAATTGATGTAAATAATCAAGAATTTGTTGGGTAATAAAATCTAATGAAGAATTTTCAATTTGATTTAATGATGGTATTTGTTCTTGAAGTTTCTTTCTTAAAGATTCTATTTGTTCATATTGATATTTTTGCCAAGCAGAATTTGCTGCTTCTAATTCAAAACAACGATTTGATGCTACTGCTAAATCTGTTTGTAATTGATGAATTTCATCATCACGCTCACGATCAATATTATGAATACCAATATTCTTAAGTAGAGAAACAAAAATAAAATTATTGATTCGAATAAAGATTTTTAAACCTCTCTTGTTGAATCAACACGTTGAATGGTTGAATTAATTGAAAATTGATTTAAACGTTGTTCCATATCATTTAATTTCAGTTGTAATTGTTGATTTTCTAAACGAAGTGATTCATTATGCTGTTGAAGATCATAGAATTTTTCTAAATTATTATTTGATAATTGAAGTTCATCTATTTGTTGTTCAATTTGTTGTTTAGATAATATTAATTGTGCATTATGATCACGAAATTCTTCACATTCTCGATAAACATCAAGTAATTTTTGATTTAATTGTTCAAGATTTTGAGAAAGTATTAATTCATTTAATTGATAATTAGTTAATTGTTTGTTCAAAGAATCAATTGTTGAACTTGTGTCTAAAAAGAAAAAAAGAAATTAACATTTTTTCGCATCTCAATGTTGAGTTTACTCATTAGTCTTCTATCATGAATAAAAAAAGAAAATCGGACTTTTTAATCTTTATGAATTTTATTCGGAGTCTGTAGAGTACACATTGAAGATTTCTGAAGTATTGTTATTATTCAAAGCTGATCCATTAAAGATTTCTTATCAAGTTTGAAGAGTTACAAAATGTATTCAGAATAGTAGTCTGAGAGAAGAGATATTGTAAAAACAGCGAAGAGAGATAATACGTCATTGTGTCAACATATTTCGTATAGATATGACATACTTGACTTTTTGTGAAACAGAGATCTAAATGAAGTGTTGAAGCACAGGAAGAAAAATTTGGACTAACCTATGGTATGTAATGATTCGTATAAATGTCGAGACCTGCTGTTTTCAAACAGAAAATGCTAGAAATCTAACTTTTTTCATTCACAAATAGTGCAAAGTATGCATTTTGAAATGTATATTCAAAAATAAAATTTACGAAGAAGCCTAAGGAAATCCTCTTTCCGGAGTTTCTCGAGAATGACTCTACAAAAAATGATGAAACTTTCAGTGCAGATAGATCTTGGTGGATAGAGCAAAAGTTTTCATAGACTCAAAAATTACCTATCTTTCCTTCAGGGAGATATAGGGTCAAAAAACGGTAGAACTTCCCTTCGTAAGAATTTATATTACGTCTTTCTGAGCTGCAATTCTTTCTGTGACAACTAGAATCAAACCGGGGTGTGTTTTTTTTTTCTACGAAAAATATTGTTTCTACAGCTCAAGAGAGGCAAAATACCGAAAGTACTATTTAAAAAAGTCTTTTTTTCAATGGTACTAGTTTCCAAAGGCTGCCAAATTTCACGGTAGCAATATTGTCAAGAAAGAAAAAAAGGTACACCCCAAAAACTTTGAGACCGATCGATTGTACCGCAGAGGAGAAAAGGGGGAAAACTTCATTTGTTTTTTATTAAGACCTTTTTTTTCGCCAGTTACATTGATCGAAAACTGACTGCGGTCAGTGACGTTATGGGCCCATGACCCATGTTCTAAGCAGCTCCAGAATGAGAAATATAAGCATCATTATTACGAAAATCTTTATAGAATAAAATAATCATAGCGTAAGTTTTCTGCTAGGGATTTTCAAAATTGGATTGAATAAACGTTCTAACTAATAAAAAGGACGTCTTAGGGCTATAACAGCAATGAAAAACCAAAAGTCGAAAAAATTTTGATCCTCATGTCCGGAATGGGGGGGGGGGGATTCCGTTAAGACTTGAAATTACAATGTTTTTAAAACCCTTAAAGATGACTTGTTATGAGGGCAAAATAAGGAAATTGTTCACTAAGTTCAAGTCAAATGGATGCAATCCTTCCGAGTTATTGAAGTGTCGAATTACGACGAAATTGATGTCTAGTGCGGTTTTTTTTTGTACCCAATTTTTGTTCCGCCATTTATCAGCTCAATACAATGTATATTTTTCTGATGCTTCATACATATTCTTGTATGACTCAACAAAGCTGCATATTTTGAGCCGCTATTAATATACGGTCTGTGATCGTATACCAATAACGTCTGTCATGGCCTGTCAGGAATTTTGGATAATCTTTCACAAAAAATGTAGATGTTTGTTAGAATAATTGAAAATTTTATTTGTGCTTATGTTAGAGAATTTTGTACCTAATTGATTATTATTTTCTAATTGTTGAAGATGAATAAGAACTTGTTGTGCTATTTGTTCAAGTGTAAAATTCTCATCTAATGGAATTGAATTTTGTAATTTCTGACGAAATAATTCAAGTTGATTTTGATGGAATTGTTGCCAAGCACGATTTGCTTCTTCTAATTGTAAACAATGAGCTGATGATGCAGTAAGATCTGTTCGTAATTGACGAAGTTCTTCGTCAATATTTGGAGAATATCTTGATTGAACAGGAGTTAGTCTATGAATTTGAATCTTTGAGAAAAAAAAAGAAAAAAAAAGAAAAAAAAATTCAACTTTGAAAATTCAATAGATATTTTTACTAACTTCTTGAATTGGTGTATGACGAATTTCTTTTTGAATCATTTGTTTTGAAGTATCTTGAGATTCGATATGAGATGATTGTTGTTCATATTCATTTAATTGATTTTCTAAATCTTGATTAGTATTAATGAGTAAATTATTCTTTTGTTGTAATTCATCATAGTCTTGTTTAAGTTGTTCATTTTCATTTAATGTTAATTGTAAATTTGTTTTGAATGAATCAATATTTAATTGATTTTCTTTTAATTGTTGTTCAAGATTTTGACATTCTTGTTGAAGAGTTAAAATTTGTTGGTTAAGTAATTGTTCATTATCTTGAAAATTATTTATTTGGTTTTTTAATAAATCAACATTATCTTTAGTTGTGTCTAAAATTTAGAAAAATTAAATTAGTTAAGAAGATTTTGAAAAGAATTCAATCAAATTCAAATACGATTTGAATTTAGAATAAAAAGATCAAATATTGTGAAGGTTTTCATTTAAGCAGACTGCTAGGTCGAAGATAAATTATGATTTGCACTTATACGTCAATGAAATCGAGGGACAGTTAGGATTGCCATATATATCCTATATTGGTATACAGTTGTCCAAATTTGGAACTGGACCGGTAGGTTTTTTTTAATCACTTTTTAGGACACTGAATCAAGTCTATTTTGTTCGTTTTTAATTATGCAAAAATACGAGTTCGAAATTTTCCAACTGACAAATTTCTAATTGTCATCAAAATTCCAGCTTCTAATTTTGAGATCAGGCTTTGTCATCATAGAATCAGAGCTTTAGATAGAGCTCATTGGATCCGGGTCCAAAAATTTACATCCAATGAGCTCTATCCTCAGATCATGTTAAATGTATTGATTATGGTCATAACAAATTAGCCATTCATTAGAAATTATATTCAGTCGGAACTGAAGATTTTCTAGCTCGAAATTTCAAACCTATCTAGATTGCTTTTAAATAACGATCAAAAACTCTGCATGAATAACGATTTTCATTAGAAGAATATTAGACAAAGTTCCAATTTTTTTCTCTGTAGGTTTTGCTTACCTACTAGTCGTACACAACAATGAAAATATCTAGATATGAAGAACTCTTCAAATATGAAGTCTTGTATAAAAGTCGAACTTTGTAGGGCAGTGTCTTCGCATCTGAAATAGTAGCCTTACACGAATTATGAAGCCTTTAAGATGTATTAAATAATGATTTTACGTAAGAGAAAACATCAAATCTCTTGTAAAGAAATTATATCTATACGAAAGGAAATCAGGCAAAAAGATTGTACATGTTGTTCAAAATAATTTTCTGTGAGTTACAACATGAAAAATTTCGAAAGAGTTCTTCTTTCCTTGCGACTATTAGCATATATGAAATATGTCTAAATACAATAAAAGATTTTACTATTCGAATCTCCAAGATTGATATGAGTTTCGCATGATATGTTTTGTTTGACCTAAAAGGAGAATTTTTTCTCAAAAGAACTAGTTGGTTCATCGATATACTAAACGGAACAGTTTTCACCAGTTAGGTCAAGGATTTCAATCAGTTCCAAGTCCGTAGTAACCCATCTATAAAACACATTATATCCATAGTTTACTCCATTTGAGCTTTGCGACATGACAACTCTGAGTCAAAGAGTTAAAGCTAATCCATAGATGGAAGCAGTCGAGGTTTTTAAAGACCGGTATCGATCTGAAAGATCCGAAACGGCTAGTCTACCGATTTATATCGGCCTACCGGTTTTTTATCGGTCTATCAGTTTTTATCGGTCTACCAATTTTTACCGGTGTACCAGTTTTTATCGGTCTACTGATATGAACTAGTGCAGCAATAATAGATCGATTCTTGCAACGAAGTTTCTTTTATAATAGGGAAGTCTCTCAAGTTTACAACTTCGATCATGAGCCTGAAATAGCTGAACATTTGTGTTCAAATATTTAATACATGGTTTTTGGTTCAAAAAAACCACTAATGTCAACATCAATCTATTATTATTGTCAATAAAGACACTGCATGCTTCGTTACGCTAAAGTATCACAAAAACAACAAATGCATTGTGATAGTGCAATGAAATCACATTTGATGCATTTGTATTAGATATTTCAGATTCATGATCTCAGTTGGTAATTTTGGAAAGTTCGCTATTAAAAAAAATTTCATTGTAAGAATTGACCTATTATAGTTGTATTAATACCGGATCAGACCAACCGAGCTGCCGGTACCGATTCCATCTATGAGCTAATCTCTGTTATATGTGAAACATTAGAAAAGAATAAACTATGATATAATGTGTGTACACATTTTCTCATTCGAAACTTGGAATTGGAAATGTCTGATGAACCCCACAGTAATATTCCTACGTTAATATTCTTGTAACAATCACAAATGGCACTCCAACTCTATCCATAAATGTCTAGTTCCATCGAATTATCTTTGTTATTCTGAATTTTTTACCTAATGAAATATTTTCATTGAATTGTTTTTGTTGTTCAAATTGTACAACAATCAATTGAATAATTTGATCAAAATTTTCATTATGATTAAAATTAATATAATCTTTTAATTTATCTTTTAATAAATCAATTTGATTATCGTAAAATAATTGCCATGCACGATTAGCTGCATCTAATTCTGTACATTGATTTTGTAATATAGTAAGTTCGTCTTCAATTTTATTATCTAAATAAAACTGTAGAAGAACAAAAACACAATTGAAATTTCAAATTCTCTTACCATCATGTTGACTTTCTTTTTCTTTATATAAATCAATTTCTTTTGTTAAATGATTTATATGTAAAATAATTTCTTGTATAAGTTCTTCAAGTGATGTTTTAGTTGAATATGGTAGAAGAGTTTGAAGTAAATTAGATTGTGTTTGTTCAAATTCTTGCCATGAATGATTAGTTTCGTCAAGTTGAGTTCTTAATGAAATAAGATTTTCTTGAAGTTGAGACTACAAACGAAAAAAACAAAGAAGAATCTCAAAGAAATAAAACCATTTAAGAGTTAAACAAACCATTTTAGTTTGTTGTTCCAGAAGATTCGAATCTATTGATTCTAAACAAGCACAAATAGAATTGAAAATAAACTTTTTGTTGTTGAATTAAATATTTACCTATTGTTTGGGTGTCACGTTCGTGCTTGTTAATAATTGGTTGATTTTCAATTTGATTAATTAATAATTGTTTTTCACGAAGAATTTGATCGTATTGTTCTTTGAGAAGAAAAAATTCTTTATTTTCTTGAATTGATTCTAATTATATTATTTATTGAATAAGAAAAAGAGTTATGTCAATAGATAAACTAAATTACCTGATTGAAGATCATTATGTGCTTTTTCTAAAGTTTGATATCGTTCATTAGAATATTCTCGTTCTTTAGTTATTTCATCCATAATTTTTTGTGCAATATGGTCAAACGATAAATTATCATCAAGTGGTATAAAATCTTGTATGTTTTTACGAAAATTATCTACTTGAGATTGATGAAATTCTTGCCAAGCACGATTAGCTTCATTTAATTGAGCATATTGAAAGGTAAGAATAGTAAAGTTTTCGCGTAATTGTTGAAGTTCTTCATTTTCTTGATCAAAATTAGAAGCACTTGTCTGCAAAGGAACCTGGAAAAAAAATAAAAACTACGATAAAAGGACATGATAAAATAATGTAACAAACTTCTTGTAATAAATTGATTGGGGCTGATCCTGAAGAAAAAAAAAGAATATTTAATTCTACAATAATACATAGAAAAAAAATATTACCAATTATTTCCTCAGTTTGCTCTATGTTTAATTCAACAGGTTTCTTCTCAAGTTCACTAGTCAAAATTTGTTTTTCTGCAATGAGTATTTCACATTGTTCCTTCATACTAAGTAATTCTTTATTTAATTCATCTATTGCATTAATATAAGATTCTTTGATAGTTTCTAAATTAGTTGCTGACTCTAAAAGATAGAAAATATATATAAGAAAATGAAGTTGACAATTAATATATTGAATACCTAATCGAAGATCATCATTAAGTTTTTCTAATGCTTGATATCTTTCATTGAAATCTTCTTTTTCTTTTGTAATTTGATCAAAAAGTTGTTGTGTCGCGTTATTCAAAGTGAAACTTTCATCTATGGGTAAGTATTGATGAAATACATTTCTGAAAGTGTCTAATTGTATTTGTTGATATTGTTGCCAAGCTCGATTTGCTTCATCAAGTTGTGCACATTGAGTCGTGAGAACAGCAACAGTTTCTCGAAGATGTTCAAGCTCTTTTCTGTCTTGTTCAATATTATCATCACTCGTATGAATAGGAACCTGAAAACAAAAAGAATGAAATAAGGAACAAAATAAGTCAAAACAAACCTCTTCTAAAGGTTGTCTCAATATATTTGATGACACTTTTTCTAAAAACAAAGCAAATTGACATCTTGCTGCACAGTATATAATAAAAAATCATACCAATAGTTGGTTTAGCCTGATCTCGATCGATCTCAATAGATCGTTTTCCGAGTTCATTAGTCAAAAACTGTTTTTCAGTAGAAAGATCTTCACAATGTTTGTTCATGACAAGTAATTTTTGATTCAATTCATTTATTGTATTCGTATAATCTTGTTGTATGGATTCCAAATTATTTGTTGATTCTGAATAGAAAATAAGATAAATCAATATATCAATAATAAAGACAGAATTACCTGAACGAAGTATATCATTAACTTTTTCTAGTGTTTGATACTTTTCATTGAAATCTTCTCTTTCTTTCGACAATTGTTCAACAATCTGTTGTGCAATGATATCCAATGATGTGTTTTCATCCATAGAGAAATAATCATGAAGTTTCGATCGAAAATTCTGAAGCTGTGCCTCTTGATATTGTTGCCATGCATCATTTGCTTCATTCAGTTGTGTACATTGAGTTGTGAGAAATGCAACAGTTTCTCGAAGTTGTTCGAGTTCTTTCCTGTCTTCTTCAATCTTAGCATCACTCGTATGAATAGGAACCTGAAAACAAAAAGAATGAATTCAGAAAGAAAATAAGTCAAAACAAACCTCTTCCAAGGGTTGTTTCCATATGTCTGGAGACACTATTTCCAAAAAAGAAATGAAATTTGACATCTTAGTGCAGGGTATACAATAAAAGAAACGTACCAATGGTCTGTTTAGGATAGGCTTGATCGATCTTAGCATATTGTTTTTCGAGTTCATTCGACAAAACTTGTTTTTCAGCATCAAGATCTTCACATTGTTTTTTCATAACAAATAATTCTTGATTTAATTCATCTATTGTATTTATATAACTTTGTTGAATTGATTCTAAATTACTTGTCGATTCTATGTAGAAAACAAGATAAGTGAAGAAAATCGACAATGAAGATAAAACTACCTGAACAAAGTACATCATTAGCTTTTTCTAATGCTTGATACTTTTTATTGAAATCTTCTCTCTCTTTCGATATTTGTTCAACAATCTGTTGTGCAATCATATCAAATGACATATCTTCATCAAAAGACAAACAATCATGAAGTTTTGATCGGAAATTCTCAAGCTGTGCTTCTTGATATAGTTGCCAAGCACGATTTGCTTCATCAAGTTGGGCACATTGAGTTGTGAGATGAGCAACTCTTTCTCGAAGTTGTTCAAGTTCTTTTCCTTCATCTTCAACATTCATACTACTAGTATGAATAGGAACCTGAAAAGAAGAAAAATAAAATAATAAAAAAAACAAGTTGAAACAAACCTCTTCAAATGGTTGTTTCAATATATTCAATGGAATTTTTTCTAAAAATAATGAGAAAATAAATTATTCGATGCAATATACAAAAAAAAATAAATATACCAATGGTTGGTTCAATTTGTTCTTCATGAATTTGAATAGATTGTTTTTCAAGTTCATTAGTCAATAATTGATTTTCAGCATCAAATTGTTCACATTGTTTTTTCATAATAAGTAATTCTTGATTTAATTCATTCACTGTATTTACATAAGATTCTCGAATTGATTCCATATTATTTGTTAATTCTACAAAGAAATAATATTAATTACATCAATACTAAATAATATTAAATAACCTGAACGAAGATTATCATTTTGTTTTTCTAATTCTTGATATTTTCCAGTGAAATCTTCACGTTCTTTAGTTACTTGATCAACAATTTGTTGAGCAATTTCATCAAATGTTATATTCGAATCAATTGATAAACAATCTTGAAGTTGATTTCGTAAAATATCAAATTGTGTTTGTTGATATTGTTGCCATGTTTCTTTTGTTTCATCAAGTTGAGCAGTGAGTGAAATAAGATTTTCACGAAGTTGTTGAATTTCTTCTACTTCTTGTTGATCAATAGTTTCAGAACTTTTCAATGGTGTCTAAACATCAAAATAATTTGAACATGAATATAAACAAATAAAAATTCTAGAAAGCATACGTCTTCAAATGCATGTCGTATCAAACTAGATGATTCGAGTTCTGTAATGGATAAGAGAAATATTACTTAATAATCTTTTTGATAATAGAACTTACTATTTGTTTGTTCATATTGTTCTTTCATACAAAGTAATTCTTTATTTAATTCATCAACTGTGTTAATATAAGATTCTTTGATAGTTTCTAAATTAGTTGCTGACTCTAAAAGAGAGACAGTATATATATATATAAGAAAATGAAGTTGACAATTAATATATTGAATACCTAATCGAAGATCATCATTAAGTTTTTCTAATGTTTGATATCTTTCATTGAAATCTTCTCGTTCTTTTGTAATTTGGTGAAGAATTTGTTGTGCAGCTTGATTCAATGTGAAAGTTTCATCTATTGGTAAATAATGTTGAAATATATTTTTGAAAGTGTCTAATTGTGTTTGTTGATATTGTTGCCAAGCTCGATTTGCTTCATCAAGTTGTGCACATTGATTTGTAAGAAGAGTAACATTATCACGAAGTTGTTGAAGTTCTT